ATATTGTCAAGCACTTGGAACCGATACATCAAAATACTTTAGAGAGCTTTTCTCAATACTGATTTTGAAACTTCAACTTTAAAAGAATTTGTTAAAAAACTGTGATGCTTAACATTTCTATACCTTCATTATAACAACATAATTAAATTACCAGATAAACATGCACTCAGATATTGTTATTCCAGCAGTGCCTAGGCCTCTACGAATACGTTTCAGCCTAAACCCATACCTCTCTCTCATCTGTGTTCACGACAGCTCTGTTTTCATCCCAGACCAGCAAACCTCTTTGCTCTTCCACTGTTCTAAACCTGGATGTCACCCCGAAACTGCCCAGTCATACTATGCTTTGCCAGACAGCAAACGAGATTTACAACTCAACTGAGAACTGGACAGAGACCAAATTGCCCACTTAGTAGGGCTGTAAGCACAAATCAAATCTCTGGAGAAACAAAACAAAAAAACCCCAACCCTGAGGTATAAAGTGATTTGGATTTCTCTCCAAATAAAAGGCTTCCCTTGCCAGAGTTCCCCAACTACGTTTAAAAAGGAAAGATGACATATCATCCCTTCCTCTTCCCTTCTACGCTCATTAACTGAAACCTTGGTTCATTTAAAAAAGAAACAAGAAAGATGTACATGAGAAAACACATCTTGTGTTCTGTCACACTCAAGCTCTGCAACTTCCCTCCCTCATGCCAGACCCCTCTGTTTATGCCATCTCACCTTTCTTCAGCTCCCACGAGCCCCGTTTCTGCAGAACGCCAAGTGTCCCTCGCTCCCCCACCACCTTCTGTAAGGCTGCAGCAGGCCTTCATTTGCTGCGAGCGGCCAGCATACTAACTCCAACGCAAGTTAGAGAATAACATTCATGGCTGCACCACAAGCAATGCAGTTCTTGAGCATCACTCAACTATCAGCTGGGGAGTTGATCCTTTACCTTTTTTCCAAGAAAGCTGCAATAGGGTACATTTGCCAAGGAGATCAGCTGACAGTCTCACACCTCTCACCCTTCTTGTTTCTTAAGATGCAAGATAAAGACAAAAAAGCTTCCCAGTGAGACTTCCCAATTAGCCCAACATTTGAAATTTTTCCATAGGTATAATACTCTACAATAACCTTTGTTGGGAATCACCTGGGAATGAGACAGGGTTTGATGCACTGAGCAATACTCGATGGAACTCAATTATTATCTCACTCTTAAATTGAAATTACATCATACAGAGAACATCAACTCCATGTCTAAATCTCAAGGTATGGAAAAAAAAAAAAAATCAGTGTCAGAAAATAAAAGCATGCTTGCTTACCCTCCTGCACAAGCTGCATTCTGCTTTCAGTGCATGTACAATCCCTGTGCAAAAAATCACTCTTGAGGCTAAGTGGGAACACTGAGCCATGCACGTTACAGGTCACTCAAGCATCCTCTCCATCCTTTCTCAATACCTCAGCCCAAGGGTTTAAATGCACAGAAGGACCCCAACTCTCAGATTCTTTCCCTTTTTAAGGCAGAAGACACTCTGCATGGTTCTGGAATTCCAGAACAATCAGAGAAAACCAAGTAAGTGGATAACAGAGGGGCAAACAAGCTTCAAAACAGATGAATACAAATTAATGCACCTAGGCAAAAGTTCCATGGTACTAAGCTTAGAATTGGCAGTTACCATTTAGGAAAGAGATTCTGGAGTATTCACTTGATTCTCTAGAGCCATTGGCTCAGCATGCAGTGACACCCAAGAGGTCAATCACCAGAAGGGATATTGTTAATGAGACAGAAATCTTTTCTATGCTACAATATAAAAATGGGTACTTTATATGTTCTGCAGTAATAAGAAAGGATGGGGAGCTAGGGAATACATACAGGCAATGAAAACATCTCAGATGCCTTATTTTTGGGGGGAGTTATTTTGGTTATTTCCAATTCCTGCACAGTAAGAAACTTTGCTTTCTTCCAACAATTATTTCTAGATACCCTGTTTCTAATGTCCCCCTAGACAGTATGATCCATATTCTGCAGAAATCACATACACATTACTGCAGGTGGTCACCAACGTAGGTAATCTTTGAGTAACTTGACAGTGTCTAGAAGAGCTTCTGAAAGACCTTGATCTTTCCAGGTAATAAAGCAGTATTCTTATAGAGGGTACAGAATTCAACTCAGCTCTAGCTAATGTGAAGTTTAAGGAAAATAACTAGACAGTGGACTGCTTGCTTTAGCTAAAAGGAAAAAAATGACGCCAAAACACTGTGTGGGGTCTAAGTTTCAGCTTGTCCTTATGGAATGCTGTTTTGGGAATGAATTCACCATGAGGGCATGGATTACTCTCAATTGTCAGACTGAAGCTGTAGGTACTAAAATATCAGTTTTCACAGACAAGTAGTATAAAAGAACTGGTTCCTACACATCTGAACGGGGGCCATATACAGCTTAATGAAAGCAATTTTGTGGTCCAAGGAGGATGGAGTCTGATTGGCATGAATGAGGCCCTCGAGAAATCTAAGAATGAGCAACCAAAACACAGCAAGACTGCACAACTTCTAATCAAAGAAATGGAGGAGAAACTGATCTAAACAGAACCTTCTAGAGCTAATGAGCAGTCTGGATGTCCTAGAGGATCATAAGCATTCAGATCAGTTTAGCCAAAATGCCAGCTCAATGGTGCTAGCAGGCACCTCAGTCGCTACCAGGATTGTTTAGTTTAGCAGCTCTTGATCCAGACCTCAAATTACCTTTTGGTTAAGAAACATGAACTAGAACAGGCAACACTGGCAAGGATTCAGTAGTCAAAAAAACAGTAATGTTTTTAGGAACAAGTCTTGGAGTGCAGCGTAGGGTTCAGATTTACCAAAGATCTTGCAGAGTTTTTGTGGTTCTGTTTGATGAGTTCCTTTCACAGCTGATCCTGACCATGAGCTCCAAAAAGGAAAGAATTACATGGCATTCCCTCTCCTGCCATCTATTAGGAAAGAAATAACAAACATATCTAAAATGCGTGGCTCAAAGTGGTCCCTTAGAGTGTTCATCTTTGACAAGCTACAGTCACTTTGAGGCGGCGGGGAAAGATCTGAGTCTTGCACACTGATTATACCATCCCAGAAAAGCACCCATACCAGACTCACTGTGCTGGTTTTGGCTGGGATAGAGTTAATTTTCTTCACAGTAGCCAGTATGGGGCTGTGTTTTGGATTTGTCCTGGAAACAGTGTTGAGAACCCAGGGATGGTTTCGCTGCTGCTGAGCAGGGCTGACACAGAGCCAAGGCCCTTGCTGCTCCTCACCCCACCCCACCCCAACCAGCGAGGAGGCTGGGGGGGGCACAAGGAGCTGGGAGGGGGCACAGCCAGGACAACTGACCTCAGCAATAAAAGTTGGAGGAAAAAGAAGGAAGGGGAGACGTTTGGAGTGATGGCGTTTGTCTGCCCAAGTCACTTTACATGTGATGGAGCCCTGCTGTCCTGGGGATGGCTGAGCACCTGCCTGCTGGTGGGAAGGAGGGAATGAATTCCTTGTTTTGCTTTGCTTGTGTGCACACAGCTTTTGCTTCACCTACTAGACTGTCTTAATCTCAACTCACAAGTTTCCTCATTTTTACCCTGCCGATTCTCTCCCCCATCCCACTGGGGGGGAGTGAGCAAGTACCTGGATGGTGCTTAGTTGCTGGCTGGGGTTAGACCACAACACACAAATAAAAATAAAGAACTGTAATACTTACCAAGAAATGGAAAAGCTCTTCTATGCTAAACTCTAAGTCCTCTAACAACTGGAACTAAAACCAGCGTTGCATGTACAGCAGCAGATGTGGGAGAGACTCCATATTTTGGTACCGGCAACAGGAAATAAGCATACCCACTGTGTTTTCTTCTCTTACATATTGTCTACAGTGGAGCTACAGCCATATCAAATGATGCTTTTAACCTATTTTTGCACAGAATAGTAGGGGAGTTTGTGGGGAATCCCAGAGGACTATTCCCTTCTCTCCAGTATCTTGCTTAAACACAACCATCCCAAACCCTTGAATTCATTCTGGATGCTCATAATCCAACAAGACTGGCCCCACCACAGGCCATAGTCATACAGTTCGCGCCCTTCCTCCAGGCTCAGCAGGTTAGCTCCCTGTGCTAGGCTTTATCTTAAAATTATTCTATTTATATACTTGATAAGTTTGTTTAAAACTCACGTTTGCAAATAAAGAGCTTTTCAGCTCACTGTGGATATTAAGCTAAAAGGAAAACACAAAGAGTTTTTGAAACTGCTAGTAACTAGCATTCCTCTGCTGCCTTTCATCCTTCATTTCACAAGATCCCAGAGCACTTTACAGATGTAAATACAGAGCTGCTCTCCCAGCAGTGAGATGCAGACAGTCCTGGGGTGGAACATGGCTGTATCATTACAACTCCTCATCGTGCTGGGCTCACTTTTGCTCTGCCACCCTGTGGCTGTTCAACTGCACAACTCCAGCAAGCAAGTGCCTGCTGCCCAGAAAGAGAGGTCTCGTACTCGCCAAGAACTCTGCCAGCACGGATGGCTCATTTTTCCATAGTCAGGTACCTGCAACCAATTAACGCAAGTGGAGCTATTTTCAGCTGAGCCTCCCCAGGAAACACACCTAGACAGGACACTGCTACTTCTGGATTTGGTCAACAGGCCAAAAGTTACCATTACCCAGAGTTAATGGCTCTGCCCCAGTCATTAAATGCGCCATAGTTGTAAATAAACCGTTCTTTGAGAGATGGGTTGCAAGCTTGATTCAAAATCTTTGTTATCAATGCCAGCACATACCCCCTTTTTAGGTGGGGAGATTTAGTTTTGATTCCAAGCAAAGGATGCCACCTACTGAATCCTTGCTACCAAGATTGCATGCTTTGACCCTCACAGCTCAAGACCTCTGGCAGGATCACAAGCCAGACTGCAGTCCCAAAGTAAATTCCAAGGAAAAGCAGAAAACAGGCTTGGAAAAACAAAGCTTTTCTCGCTGCTCCTCTCCCTGCAACCCAAAGATGTATTACTCACTGAACATCTGCACAGCCATAATAATTTCTAGTTTTGCAACACTGACAACCTTAGCAGTATTAAAAAGCCTCCTTACATCTTTATTCCATTTTGGATTCATTATAACACACTGACAATATATGTTAGTACAGTACATTCTGCAACATTTAACCCCTGTTCCCAGTCGCTGTTCTTAACTTCATGGCTTAATGACACAGAGTCAGTAGATCACAATATGACCCTGTTAATATTTTTTTAATGCCATTTTTACAAATTACAGCATAATGCACTGATTACAAGGATGAAAGGGAAGTCTCCACGTCTGTCTGGAAACCAAATAAAAGAATGTTTGAACATCTGTTCATCCTACAAATGTCTTTAAAAGCTTTGATTTTCCCATAATCATTTTGTTCCACCATTTCACCCTTTTTTGAATGTGTATCCAACAGCCCCAGGACAGCAGCCAGAGATCTGCAGTAATAGCACATTATAATCAAAGTTCTCAAGCACACTTAAGTTTTCCTTTTGCAGTTAAAAATGGGGAAAAACACAACCCAAACTTCAACAGATACCCCCCCCCCAACTGCCCATCCTACACAAATCTCTGCTAGGGGAGCAAAATGAAAGGACAGGGCTTTGCAGAGAGGATTACAAAGCACAAGACAGGACACGGCGGCAGGTGAAGGGACTCACAAGAGGCACGGTACATGCGCCTCCCCACTGCCTGCTTCCACTAGGTCAGCAACAGCTGTCCACGAGGCTCTGCCCAAATCACAGTCCAAATGCCTGAACACAGGCAGCTTCTCACCGCCCCCAGGAGCTGGCATAAGCTGCAGGGCAAGAGCCTTCCCCACCATGCTGGGCTCCCAACACCAGCCGTGTGAGCCTTGCCAGCACCTGGATTTACATCTCCCTCTCCAGAGGCAAGAGCAGAGCCAGGACAAGGAGACGCAATGAGCAAAGATGGAAAATAAGAGCACTGAGGAAGGGGTTAGGTCTTGGACTGAGAGGATGGAAGAAAGATGCTGAGTTAGTACGTGAGTCTGGAAATGAGACAGAAGATTGTGGGAAAGATTTTTAAAAGTGTATTAGAGGAGACTGGACAAGAAAGGGATGGAGGTCCAACTCTGGAAGCTGTTGCTGCTCCCTCCCTTGGAGTACCCCAAGCAAATAAACCATGGGACACTCAGCACTAGAAAACTTTCCAGCCAAGCAGAGGGCTGCAAAACTAAGTATTCAGGACTAATGAGTTTTCAAATGGATCAAGCTCCCTAACAACTGACTCACTGATCCTGCTATGGGCAATCCCCAGTGTAGAGGGGAAAACATTAATCAGACAGTGTTTTGTAAAAATACGTATCACCATTTGCACTGATAGCCTCTTCTCCAGAACAATTCAAAAATGCCTTAGAAATGAGAAAGACAAAAGCCAGTAAGTGCAAGGTTAACAACTCTGGAGCACCCAACAATATCCTACAGCAGGATACCTCTCATGATGACTGCCCCTTTTCTTTCCAGAACTCCAAGCAGGGTTGGCAAAATTTAGTGACCCATTTAAAATTTGTCAAGGATGTTAGAACTATACAGATAAAAAAGTTCCTTAATTTATTAAGTTCTGATTTTTTTTTAATTAGAGTTTTTTTTTATACCAATAATTCTTAGAGTAACCTGGGATGGTAATAACAGCATTCCTTCTATGTCATCTGTTTCTCTAGCTGCCATCACTACAGTATCTTAAGCGGAGGTAACAGTGCAGGGTACAAAACAGGATTTGATAAAGGCTTAAAAGAAAGATAACATAACAAATATTCATTCCAAAGACTGCCTTTGGGGGTGTCTGGGAAGAGGAGAGAAATGGGGAAGGAGAGGTGACAGGGGTGTGAAATGCATTTTTTTCATTATAGAAGGATACATTTTCCAGCAAGGCTGGCAGCACAAGTCACATTAAGCCATAGCTGAAGTTGCCTGCCTAATTCCTCTGGGATCACACTGAAAGCATACCCCATAATCTTAAGGGATGTGCTAAAGCTTTGCTGGGACTCACTCAGCAGAAACTGTTTGGGATTATTCCACAAAGCACTAATTCTGTTCTGATTTAAAGGGGCACCATCAACCTAGTTTAGACATCAGACTTGCCCTGTCTCACAACTGTCCAGCTGTAAATACCCTCTATCCTCTCAACAACTGGTATTTTTGCCATTCGTATCCACTTTGGTTACCTAGAAATGAAAAGAAGAAAGAGACTGAAAAAAACAAGATCACATTAGCATGACGGACTCACGCCCATCAATGGATATTTGATTAATAAGACTTTGAGTGTTATAAATAATATGATTAATGAGTATGGCAATCTATTTCAGTTATCTACTTCCACATGCAACTATGTGCTTACATTATACATGTGGTCACCTTCTAGGGCTGGCGTCAGTGAATGGGTCACAGGCTGCTATTTAACATCAACGGGCAGAAGTAGTCTTTTTGTTCAAAAGGCAGGAACTAACATTTTCCATGCTGCCAAGCCAGAGTCCAATTTCTGTTCCAGACCACAGCTTTCGTACCTATAGAACTATTGTTTGTTTTTATGTTAAGGTGTCCTATGCTTTGTAAACAACACAGAAGGGATATGACCAGTGCTCTCTCCTTTTTAGAAGCCCAGGACATGAAATTCAGAGGAAGAACTAAAGCAGCCCTGAGATCCCTATTAAACAACTAATGGTTTCTAAAGGATCTTTGAGACACTCATTTTACAAGGCTTACGCTGCAATCTTCTATTATTATTTTAATGAAATAAAGCCTTTGACTATTTCCAGAGGCAACTTTTTCCTTCACACACAAAAGACATTTTGGTTACAAAAAAAGAAAACAATTCAGGAGTAGGATTGACTGCAGAACAGGCAGGAAATTCAGAAAAGCTATATAAAGTGTCACTGAAGATAGGTTCTCAACCTTTGGAAGAGCAAACAGAACAATTAAGACTCTCAGTTACACGCATCATTATGTTTAATATGAAAAACATTTCTAGATACAAATCATATTTATAAAAAAGATCCATACCCTCTCTCAGATAGCATCTTACATAGTTGCAGCTGATGGAATGTGAAACATCCATTTTAGGTTTCACCTATTATATCGTGTGCTTTCTGTCCCCCACTTTGCTTGGGGAGGTAAACCTAGACTAATCTGCTTCACTTTGTGGGTTGCATGAAATTCACATCTTGACTACATTTAGACTAATATTGGTGGACAACTTTTAAATCAAGAGAAACTTCAAAACAATTCTCCAGAAAAACACTGCTATTAGAAGGCACACCCGAATGGGCTCATCCGGCAGGTGACATTCTCCTAGAGGCTGTAAAGATTCACATCGCAAAGATGACAAAATAAGCAGATTCTAACAGAACAAAACCAGATTACAGAGATTTTGGAAGTGGGCACAGAGTCAGCAGGAGCTTTCAGGCTCTGTCTGTGAGGAAGGAACAGGTCTAATATGTTCAGACAAGAAATACATTCCACCTGAATTCACTTCAGATTCTGGTCTTTCAGGTGCCATCAGAGGCTTCTCTGCCTTCTCAGGATTGAATCATTTTCTTCTGTGTGTCAAAGACGTATCTTTTAAAGAGAAGAGAGATGGTGACAGGTTGGGCTGTATCATTCTTATTGCTTTCGTCCTCTTTGGTTGTATCCCCCTTCCCTGGCTTAGATTTCTTCTTGGAGGCAACAGTAAGAAGCATCTTGGTATCTGGCTTCAGCCCATCTGTAAAAAACAAGAACACACATGACAAACGTGCTCAACATCACATTTCAGTACAACTGGAAAAAATAAACAGGCAAGTATACTTCTGAAATCAACCAAAGAAAATAAGAAAGTAAATCAGGTGCATAGGGAAGTCACATCTCTGCATCATGCTTCTGGAATGTGGTAGCTCACATGAAAAATAAGAGAAGCCTTCAAACATAGTTCACAAAAGCGATACCCCAAATCCAGTGCACTATCCTGGCTGTATCCTTCTACAGCTTTTAAAGTGTTAAATACAGGCAAAAATTTAAACAAGCTAGACCAACTTGCCTGGTCTAAGCCTTTTACTCAGCAGACCTTTCCTATTATTTACACACACCTCCCAAAGTTTCTTCTCATCACTAAAAATATAAAAATAAGTCATGAATGAAAAACAACTGGTAAAACATTGAGTTACACAGTCCTAAGAGTCAGAAGGTTCTTCAATGTCTTTAGTATTTCCCAGACCTGCCAGAAGCCCACCACTTAGGTTTTAACAAGTTATACAATTTTGTGTTTGTTTGGTGGGGGGGGTTGTTTACTTGGGTTTTTTTGCTAAACCACAGTATGTAAGGGTTTAAATTATCACTTCTTAGGGGAACTACAGTTAACCTGTGTAGGATTCTGGGGATCCAGCTTAAGTCTTTCTCCAGACATTTGCACCAAACAAAAGTATTTGTCCTTTTCTTCCTAAATGGCTAGGGTTTATTACACTTTTATATTTTCTTTTAACTTGACACATCGGTGACATTTTAGATAAGAAATGCAAGATAGCAAAGTCCAAAGCAGCGCTGTAAAACAAGAGAGATGCAGCTCCTAAAAGGCCACTCCTGAAGAATTGCTTTCTTAGAGCAGAAGACAGCACACTCCTTGGAAGCTTATTCAGCGCCAGCCAAACACACTGCAATGTGGTTCTCAGGCTCTTGGCCAAATTCAGTTCAGGTATTTTTAACCTGTGGTGTCACATAACCTTATCTCAAACACTTAATCGGCTTCTCTCCCCTCATATTGAAATTCAGATGCGGATTCTCGTATCGCAGCCTGACAAAAAGATTGAGATGCTTATGATTTACTGGAGACAGGAGGTCTACAAGCACCGGTGATTCGCTCCAGCACAGATGCATCTAGAGGCACTTACAGCTGATTGCAGGGGGACCCAGCACCAGAGCCCACCTTCTCGTCTTGCCGTGTCAGGTAGCAAATCATTCCATGCGGCATCCCCACTGGGCAGCAAGGGGAAGGGAGGACACGAGGAAGCGCTGAAGCAAAGCCAGGGAACTGCTCATTTCCCATTTCATAACCAGGGGTTACAAAACAGCCCTAACGCCCCGCAGCACAGCCACAGGGAGACTTCTGGAGATAGAGGGGGCTTGCTTTTTTAAAAAAAAAAAAATGCAAGAGTGCAAGAGAAAAGCAACACATTACTGTATAACTAAACAAACTACAATTTACACAAAGGCTGCATCAATCAGAATCAACTTTGCATAGTTCTGCAAGACCTTGTATTCCACAGTGAAGGCAGCAGCCATCTTCTCTTTTCACATGGCAGAATACAAAAAGAAAAGCAATGATTATTTCATTGTGAAAATAATTGAGACTGTTTTTCCTTGATGGTTGAGAAGTCTGATAATGACTATCTTTGCACATGTAAGGTTCAATTAATCAAACTAGATAATACAGTGTGGCCTAACCACATATTTATTATATGGTTTTATTACACTGTATAGTCATGTTTGATGCAGCTGTTTCGATTTCTTAATCGGATGCTTTCATATAAATCCCATTAATATCATTAACCTTACAATCACTCCATCTTAGTTAAGAAAAATAATTTATCATGACATGAAACCCAACTTATTTCCTATTTGGAAAGCTCTGAGAACATCTTGGGTGCTGCAAGAAACAAAAATAGCAGCAGTCAAAAAAAGAGGAAAACAAAATAAAAACTGCAAAAAGCGTGACCGCACGCAGTCCCGCTCCCTACCTTTGCAGGCTTTATTTCATATTGTATGTTTTCTACTGTTTTGATCCATCTAACTGTAAGTGTCCCTGAACAGGGTTTCCTTCACTTTCCTGGGAAGACCATTTATTTTTTGGACAAAGAAACATTTCATTTGGCTTTCTAGTTGGTTTCCCTTTCTGGGTCTTATCACTATTACTAACGTTGCTGTTACTGGCACATTACTGTTTAAGAAAGATGTTTAACTAAATCCTTTCAGAAAGACATACTTTAATTAAAGCAAACAAATCCTAAAACACTCCTATTTATGTTAGTAGGCTTTGAGAGACTCTAATTTCCAAAAAATGCTAATTGGTGGAAGGGAGAGAGGAAGGGAGGAGATGTAGCATTAAAATTGCAGCTAAAATTTTCCTTTGGGGGTATCTGAAGCAAGGCACCTCGGCTGCTACTGCAAACCCCTGCCCATGGGGCAGCGATGCCCTGGACACGCATTCAGCTGTGGCAGCAAGTGGGGGAACTCCCAGCCGCGAGGATGAAACCACCGCTTCAGATAAACCCGGCTTCAAAACCAGCACTTGGACAGCCCAACGCTTCCGAGACCCACTGCATCATATCTTAGGCGTTCAAACAAAGAATCTCCTGTTTGAAAAATTTCATTTTCAAGAAAAAAAGATTATGCTGCATATGGAACTGTACTGGCAAAAATGTATTTAATACCAAGCAATCTCGCCGCCTCCACCCTATCGCTAACTCCCACTTATGGAGAAGTAAAGATACAGCTCACCTACAGCCCTTAACACCTATTTGGATTCAATACGGTATTTATGGGTAAAAAGTTTACAGAAGAAGTGGCAGAACGTGGTAGTTCCTACCAGTGAAATGACGGGCTGACAGCCAAAGGCAGCTCAGGTATTATTAAATTCACAAGGTATCTAAATTACCTAATCAGATCCCATGGCCCTCATTCTGCAAACAGATTAGGTGGCTGGCATCGTACCCTAACAAATGGCATTTTCTGTTTTTCTGCTCTGGTGCCAGGAGGTCTAAGGGCTGAAGAGGCTCTGCGATAGGGAGCAGCACAAAGGAGCAGGCAGGGAGACGGGCGGGGAGGCACAATCGGGGTTTCATCAACCTCCGTGGATTTCTCGCGTTACACACAATGCATACTTTACATTTTACAAAAACCAAGGAAATGAAGGGAAATATATCTGTCACCGAAGAAGACATCAGACCTTTAATAGCTGAAATGACGGATATTTTTAGATGGAGGTCTAGTTTAACTTACTTACATTAAGGGTCTAATCTCTCCTGAACAATAGCTATGTTAGCTTGAATACATAGTGAGAAATCTGTTCCATTAATTAAGTGCTGCCTGTACTACTCGGATTTGTAGCAAATGTTAATAGATTTTTTTTCTTCCTCTGTTGGACAATTACTTTATTTTGCCAAGTTGCTAATGGATTAAATTGAAAAGGTCCGTGTGTTAAAAAAAAGACTTTAGCTTCAAAGTTCTAAGAAATGCCTTGCATACAACAGTGGGAAATACCTATGTATTAATATTATTAATGGGCAGTCCTCAGAGGCACATAAGATATCTGAAAGCTTAGCAAATTCATTCCCACCCATCATAACCACGTCTGTAACAAGAAGTGCCCAGAGAGGTCTTACGTAAAATGTACTCGTAGCATCAACTAACCTAGGTTAGATATGAAAATCTGGTTGTAAAATAGTTTAATCCACTTCATTCTTTTATTTTCAACTGCTGTTGATAATAAATAAATAAGAATACAGACTCAACATAATATTCTTTATCTCAGCACGGTCTCAAGGATTTAATGCAAGCTGAGCCATTTATGAATAAGAAAAGTGAATTTTCAAATTCAAATTAAAAGCAATACCTCATCAGGAAAAATATTTTCCAAGTCTAAGAACAGTTTCACATGCACAGAATAAAGGATAAATGCAGTATTTTACACAATTTTCATAAATAAAAGCTAGCTTCTTAATGATTTGCAGTAACTTATATGTAGTTAAACGCATTGCAGCCTGGAGTTTTACAACTACTCATGCAAGAAGTTTGCATAGAAACACACAGGTTTCAAAAACTTCATATAGAAATTTCACTTTGTACAATTCTGGACTCCTTGTGTATAAATATAGGTAATAAATTTTGCTCCCCCACCTTTCCCGCTTCCCCAACAAAGATACTCCTATCGACACAAGTTTTAAGATTTCTCTAATGCTTCATGTTCTCCTTACACGAATCAGGCCTCCCTGGAAGAGGGACTGAGCAAAGCCTCGTGATAAACACTCTGCTGCCGACCCCGCTGCCCCCTGCGTCAGGCCCACGGGCAGTCTCCCTGCCAGACTGCTGGGGAGTGCTGGCCAGCAGACAAATCACAACAAACACACGAAGCATATGAATGTCCATAACCAGCATGGTTTACTTTTGCTTTGTTTTTACTACTACTCCTTCAGCTGGAAGAAGGATGAAAGCCTATACAAGATCTGCTCTTCTAATTCCTTTTGCTAATCCAGCGGCAGGATGAAGGCGTGCTGCTGTGCTTTTTGCCCATATACATTTTTATTTCAACTGTTACCTGCAAGCTTGGATCCTACTTTACCTTTTACATAACTTCCCCACTTCACATCCTCCTCCACTTAACATTGGCATTCCTTATCAACATCCTCTGTCACCTTTGGTTTTCACAGTTGGTTGTTTCTTTTTTTTTTTTTTGTGGGGGTGTTTGGTTTTTGTTGGGCATTTTTTGTTTGTTTGGGGTTTTTTGCTTATTAGTCTTCTGCTCCTTGAAAAGGTCTCCAAGGGTGGTCTCCACTCTTTCTCCTAAAGTCCAGCTCCTCCTTCCTTGACTCCCAATTCCACTTGCTAGTCTGCCCTTCAGGAGTTTTATCTCTCTCTTTCCTTCTCCAACTTTATTTTTCAGATTTCCCAACTCCGTATTTCTACTTCCTGTTTCCACAGATCTATTCAATATTTAGGAATAGTCCTGTCTCCTTC